GGCAGAAGAAGGGGAAAAGGCGGTAATTGATTTTCTCTGGACGTGAGTGTGACCGGTGCTGAACAGTTGGGTGAAGGTACGCGGTTTTTGTTTGTTTGAATGAAAAAAGTTGTAACAATTGAGCTGAGGCGTTGGTTGCGCTGATTTCTGCTGATTATCTCCTCTCTCCCACTGTCTCTCTATTTATACCGTCGGATGAAGTTATGCCACAGATGATGTTGAAATGACACTTGCCAACACCGGTGATGATGATGATGATGATGAAGTTGTTGACGGCTATAGCCGATGAGCCCATGGTGATAAGAAAGAGAGTGAGGAGAGTTTATAGAGAGCAATACGCCCATTCTGTACAAAATGAAAGCAAATATGGCCTTTTCTTAATTACTTTATGGCTTTCTGATGTACACACACACACATAGTGTTCTCCGTTTTGACAAAGGAAGAAGGAGGAGAGGGGGAAGATCATCACACTATCCTGGTAGATCAGGTAGATCATAAAAAAGAAAACGTTGCTGCTTATGCCAGTAGTAATGGTAAGAAAAAGAGAAAGTGTCGGCGATGTGTTTGGCTCACTGCCCAAAGTGTGTCCGTCTAAGGTTAACCAAACTTGGTCTGAATTTGGGAAGAGAGGGGGAAAAGGAGAGGAGTTTGCCGGCCAGAAACAGCATCACAAAAGCAGTGATCAACCAGGTGACAGCAGCCTTGGTGAGCGTGTGCGTGCTCACTGTCCATGTGCCTCCTTCTGAGAGAGAAACTGGCAATTTAGGTTGATAAAGAAACTGACTGTTTCTTTGCATCTGCTTTGCATTTCCACCCGTTTAACTACTAGTCAATTAAGCAAGGCTATAGAAGCAGAAAACACTTTTTCTCTTTTTGATCATTTTTGAGCCATAAAACCCAATTTGGTAGCCAAGTAGGCAGTGGTCAAAAAGGGGTGAAGGAAACGAGCAAGTGATGCTGCCGCTGGTGCTAATGGTGCTGGCGTTTGAACCAGCGTAAACAGGTAATCTTCTACCTTTTTTTATTAGCCTGCAGTATTATTCTAATCACGATATCATCATCATCAGCTGGCATGTGCCAGACTTTGAGACTTGGCCTCATAATCATAATCATTTTAATATTATACGTGAGTCAATAGAAATGAAAATGTACTGTACGAAACAACCATCACCACCACCACCACTTTTCTTAAACTAATTCTGCCTATTGACCAGCCGTGGTGGCAGCGTAGGGCACTGCGATAATAAAGCAACAGGTAGAAAGCCAAGGTGCAATAAAGAGAGAACAGATGAGATGATGTGACTCCAGTGACGCCATTGCAATGGCAGTGCAAAACATCATCATCAACCACCAACGTCGTCGTTCAGACCCATTGTCGTACCTTTTTACAAAAACGGAAAGTGACAGTGGTTACTGAACTGTAAAGGTCAAGAGGGAAAAGGTTCAACATAAAAGCCAAATTATTCGTTCATTTTAAATTTTTCTAATAAACAATAAATGGCAATACCATTTCTCTGCCGCTCTTTACTGTCAGAAATCTGCACTTTTCCGTTCAGTTCTGTTTGGCACTTGAGCAAGTGGTTTAGCGCAAATTTCTACCAGTAGCAATAACTGTTTTGGCAGATAAAAGGACACTTTTTTCGATAAGTGGAAGCGTTTGATAAAGAAAAAGATGGCAATTAAAAAAGTTGGATGGTGGCAATAGCCCCATAATAAAAAGGTTAGCTAACAACCGGGAGTGTTTTCTTCTTTTTAACTTTCATAATTTGCAATAGGCAACAGCTGTTACCACTACTTTATGGATGTTTTTGCTGTTTTAGTTTTAAAGTTATTTAAATATAAAATAAAAGTACAAAAATATCTAAAAAGAGACTGTGGATTGCAGTTTGTATGTTGTGTTTTTGCAATTGTTTTAAAGCAACCACAAGGAAAAAGATGCTGTTCAATACAAAATGCACTTTGTGAAAAATATCAGCCCGAAAACGCCGCATAAAGTACCTTAATGCCCTTGCGATAATATAACTGTCTAAACGGATTAACAGTGATCTTCGTCTTTATCTGGACATGACTATATCATTTATGTATTTGGAATTTAGAGAAAAACATTGACTAACACCTACTATAATTTATGGTCAAGAGTACAATAACTTGTGCAACACTTGCACTTTAAATGACTGGTATAATATGAGCGGTTTTTGTTGTGTTTTTTGTTTAATGCAGCTTGACTGTCAACTGGTCACCCTTGACCTTATTATAATTATACCCAAATTAAAGGTCAACTGCTGATTTCAAGGTATAATAAAACTGCAAGATTGAGGGTCAACCAGATAAAGTCAATATAATAATAAACAAACAAAAATTAAACTAAACTTAAAGCCTTGGTACAGCATTTCCTTAGAAATAAAACACAATAAAATATAGTTGCTTTATTATTTGTAAACAAAAAAAAGTTAAAAATAAACATTTGTATGAGTAATAGTAGAGTAGAGTTTAACATGAACGGTATTTGAATAAATATATTTTATATTTCTTAACAATTTTTTAAAATTAATGAGTAGTTTGTGCTGTATTTAAAATTTTCAATCATCACATCTTCACGATTACAAGTTTTTCAGTTTACCTCCTCCTTCGGCCCATAATGAAGGTGCCATCACCGAAGGCACCAAAGAGGCTGCCCAGCGTGAGGATGTTGCCCATTCCGCCGCCACCGAAACCGCCATGACCACCCAAGATGATAATGTCGCCGTGTTTGCGACACTCAGTGGCTGTCGGTAAAAAACTAGCAACCATGATCACTGTGAGAAATGCCAACAAAAAGTTGAACAGTTTCATTGTCGCTGGGGTATAGAGATTTCTTTCTTCAGAAACATACAGATGATATTTTAACTTCTAATATAAAAAGACTAATCTAGAAATCAACAGTAGTCGCCTCTCTTTTATATTTATACTCTTTTTCAATTGGGTGTGAATGAGAGAGAAAGGACAAGATTTTCAAGGCCTGACTGCAGGCAGAAAGAAGGTAAAGATGGGAGGGGAAAGTTGAAAGTGTTGCGCACAAGTGTCACTGCTCATTTCCCATTGAGGCGAATCTAATTGACCTGTCAAGCAGGCAGTGCAGTTGACAACTTGACAGTTGTCAAAGGAGTTGGACTGAACTGTACTGTATTGGGCAAGTGCAAGTACTTTTTTGCATGAACAGCCACACGTGACACCGATCACTGCCTGTCGGTCGGTTTCTGTGTGAGTGTGTGTCCTCTTGACTCATTGAGGTTAATTATCTCTCGGTGCCTTTTAAAAACACTGAGGACTAGATAATCGGTAATTAGGCGGGCAATGCTGCGAGAAAGAACGAGAAGAGACAGGCAGAATTGATATAGCCAGATGATGACTCATTGACAAAATGAAAAGAATGGCTATTTTTCAATTTTGTGTGGTCAAGATATGAATGAGAGAACAGGTCAACCGGTCTAAAAAAGATAGCATTTGTGTTTTTGTGTGACCGAGAGCAATTAAAGTTTGAAACCTGCTAAAGCTGAATATAAGGCTCAAATGATGAGTGCGTTTGAAGTGCAATACAAGGTCAGCAGAGCGTAACTATCGGATTTGGCTGTGTGTGTGCGTGAGTCGGTTTAAAAATTTACCTGCCTAAATCTGGGTAATTGTTGTTAGGGGTAAATTAGGTTTCTACTAAAAAAAAGCTGTGGTAGGTATTCAGTAAAATTTAAATTTAAAACGGAAAAATTGAGCAATTCTTTTGATCACTTTGCAAATGTGAAGATAATCTTGGTTGTTGTGCTGAATGGTTGCCGGAAGATTAAGTGCAGAAACTGATATTTGATATGACAGTTTAGACAGATTTTCCATTATCGTTAGGAGGGATGCGTTTAGAAATAAGTCTCTAGGGTTTCAGGTCACTCGCAAGCATCAACATCGATGAACAGTTGTTTTCTTCAGCAGTTTCCAATACTATTGCGCAATGTTTTGAAACAGTGTAATAGCTCGAGTGTAATCGGTAGTTAGGCGGTAATATTGCACTGATGGTGGTGGTAAACTAATGATAGCTGCAGACTTTCCCTGTATTGCAGGAGGCTTGAAGGTCAAAAGAGGAAAAGAAGAAAAGAGAAAGAGAAAAATATTCTTTGTGCAGACAATGTCAACTCTGACACTGCGTTGATTAATAAATTAGCAGATCATTGATCACATTTCACACATCTTGCTTCATCAGTATCTTTCTTCAGATCGTGATCACCACTTTCCCCTCTCCATCATCACTATCACCACCAATTAAAACAGTCTCAGTCGATAGTAGCCAAGTCGAGTGCGATTGAAAATGGCCGCCGGGAGGTTAAAGTAGTTCTCACAGATTATCGGTGCGTAGTGGACGATGGTCATGTTGTGGTCCGGGTGGTAGAGCTCGATGATGTTTGAGGACAGCTGTCCGTAGATGTTGCTGCGCATTAGCTGGTGCTGCTGAAGCATGGGCGGCGGCGAGTACATGCCACTGATGGCCGACACTGACATGGGCCCAGTGGCGTGGTGGCCACCACTGGCGGTGGTCGCTCTGGAGGACGGCCTAGGACTGTTCGGGTACATGTTCGGGTAGTAGTAGTTGACCATGCTGGGAATCTCCACGTTCCGCCTGAAGGAGGACGCCTGAAAGGAGTTCAGTATCTCAAAGAGCTTATCGTGGAACATCTCAATGGAGTAGCGGCGGCGAATCTGCAGCAGGTAGTCCAATGAGAAATAGGTGTCATCCAGCTCGGTGCGACTCGTCTCTAGCAGCTCGTCAATGGCCGCCTTCAGTGGGTGTGAGGTCAGTGTGATCCAGGGAATGTCTCTCGACCAGGGATTCCACTGTGACCAGGTGTTCAGCGGTTTAGTGCTGTCCCAGCCAAAGCGCATCGCCAACTGGTAGCGGTGACTGATGCTGGTTATGATGCAATAGAGGTAGAAAAAATGTGTTGGTTAGCAGAAGACTGATAAGTGAAGAATAGGACCACTTACGAGTTAAAGGACATTTCCGGGTAGCAGAGAGGACCAATGCGAATAGTGTCAAATCGTGAGTAGTCAAAAAGGTGCAGCGTTCGCAGCTCCAGTCGCTCAAAATCATACTCGAGTGTGATGAGGCAGCGTTCGCACAGAAGCACGTAACGCTCCTTCTCCTTGTCCCAGTGGTCGATCCTAGAAAGAAAAGATTAACAGTTGTAAATCGCTTGGTTTAGCAAAAACACTATTCTATACAGCTTACAGCGTCAGACAGAAAACGTCCAGAACTTGTTCGCCAATCTCTTCAGAGAGGTTGGCGCAGACGTTCCAGATGTCGTCGAATGTGCTGCTTCTGCTGGCAAAAAAGTACTTGATGCGATTGAGCATTGGATTGACGGGACTGCTGCCCAGAGAGCCACCACCACCGCCAACGCCACTCAAACCGGCGCCCATGTTTCTGCCACCGCCCAGCGAGCGGAAACAAGCCAGAGTGGGTCAAGTGTTCACTGCAAGGGAAAAAATGGTTAAAGGTGCACAGATAGGGAAGAGACCAGCAGTCAGCGAATCACTGATTCACTGAGGCAAAAAAAAGTAAAAAGCTTTGCTTTGTGTTGTCTTTCTTTCTGTGTACGTTCCTTGAACGCACACTGCTAGACAAACACACACACACAGACACAGAGAGACTCTTCTAGTACCTGCACTGCGGAATATTCACTGCGCCTGAGTGCAGTTTGTGTTTGTCTGTACGAAAAGTGCGCTTTTGCGCCTGGATACCATAAGCTTTTGCCAGTTGGAGAGAAATTCCAAAACAAATGGTCTTCCAAAGACGACGGCAGGAAGGGCAGCGGGAAAGAGGGAAAGAGGAGACTTTTTATTTATTCTCCTCTATATAGTTCGCATTTCACTGCTCCTGGATCCTGGTCCAGGGAATAAAAGAGAAGAGCAAGCTTTTGAGTTCTTTCTTGTCTAGGCAGCTTTCGCTCTTTCTCTCAATGCAGCGTTGTAATTCGCTGCACGAATTGCAATTGAAACAAAAAGTTTTTTTATTTTGCAGTTTTCAAAAAGTAGAATAGTAATAAAAGCGGCCAACGAATAACCAAACACTGTAATTAAACTCAAAAAGTTTATAGTTGCCAGAGGAAAAAAGTTACATGACTACTTGAAAAAAAACAGTTGACCAAGTGGTTGGAGCACAATAAAACAAGGTTTTTCAAATAAAATTCGTCATCTTACAAACAAAAAAAACTGAGCCATTTCAAAAAGGCAATTTTTAAGCATTGAATATAAACATATTGAGAAGTTTAGTAATGTGCTTAAAAATTATAAAAATGTATTGTGAAATGAAACGAAAAAAAGTTTATTGTTTGGTATTTTATTTAAAAACTTTTAATGCCCGTAGTAAATGATTATCTTCCTTTTACCACTTCCAAGGATAATCAGGGTGGTACTGCTGAATATTGACACTGCACTCAGCCTTTTGATGGAACCAGGGATTGCTGCCTTCCGTCTGAATGTTAAACTGCACGCCACAGTTGTAGATCGGATTCGCCTGTCGAACATTGTCAGCAACAACGTTCTTAAACTTGATATCTCCGCCGCCCTGAATCTGCAGGACAAAGGTTCCCGTTCCGTTGATGTGCACATTCTCAAACTCCACACCAAAAACCTTGCCCTCGATGAAGGCAATGGCCGAGTAGGACGAGTCAATAATGTCACAGTCGAGAACGTGAATGTTTGCGTGGATCTCCTCATTGAGACCACTGAACCAGATGGCGCCCACACCAAACTGCCAGTTGTAGTCAGAGTTGCCCGCTCGCAGCAGCGTGTTTCGGTACACCTACCAAATGAGTCACAAGAAGAAGAGGCGTTATTTTAAATTCTGACAAAAACCTTCTCTACCAACTCACCCTGATATTGCCCTTGATACTGGTGTCGCCGCGAACATTGTTGTAGCGATTGGAGACGTGAATGCCACCGCCGTTGGTCAGCGTGTCGTACACCAGGTTGTCGCTGATTTCAATGTCTCGCCCACCGTAAATAGCTGTAAAATTGGAAATTCTTTTAACATTAGATGGCTCATCCAATTACCGAGCGCTACTGCTCTTTCTACCGCAACCGTGATTGCCCTTGCTAAAGGCTGCTTTAGCCTGCTTACTCACATACGCTTCACTCATCTACCTGTACACCGCTACGTCGTGCACTGCTGTCCACTCTTTCAGTACTAACGAAGAGTGCCACTGTCCTTGTACCGACATGTACACTGTTGAGCCAAAAGCACTGGAGAAAAAGAAACTGTACGGAGATTTACCGAGATACGATCTCAACTTGACAAAGTTCATCACTATAGCCTAGAGAAAAGAAGATGCCGGAAAGATCGGCACAAAACCGCTACTAGACGATTCTGGGAAAGACAACTCCAGATGGACTTGAGAAAAACCAGAAGAAATGCAGAATAGGAGAACTTGACTGGAAAACGTCAAACTCGGTATATAAGAATTATAAGGAGCAGCCGATGGCCGTACAAAATCAGCATCCAACAACCAATCAAACCGCCAACACCTGAACAACTCAACAACTCAACTAGCCGTTATCGGACTTAGCTGATTTCCTAACCCGTAGCTCTTTAGGAAGATTGACCTGTAGTCAGTCTGACTAAATTGAGCAAACTTGACAACGGTGTCCAGCACCCTTTCTACTTTGTGAACCCAGCTGAGAAGTGAGGTCCTAGGCCCCCTCGCTCTCTCTCTCTCTCTCGCTCTCTCTCTCTCTCTCTTTTTGTACTTTATACTGTGCTTATTAAATGGTGTGGATATTACGTGTGTATATGTCACTCCCTCCTTTGCCCTGTTAAGCCCTCGCCCATAGTGTGCCTCACCTGCGCTCCAGAGAAAGAGCCCAGGCCCTTAATCGTAGTGGACATCTACATACCGATATTATTGGCCAAAATTGGCAGGCCGACGGTGTTGCGGACGAACTTGTTGCCCACCTCGGGGTACTGCTCCGCCCACATGGCCAGGCCGTCATCGCCGGTGTTCCGCAGAAAACAGTTCTCCACCGTCGACTGAGTAACTCCTTTGTGGAAGTTGATTCCATCTTTTTGGAGTAGAAAAAAACGTTTTTAGATTTTGATCTCAGTAAAATAAAGCTATCTTACCGGCCGTCGTGTCTACAATACGAGTATTGCGCACTGTAAAGTTGGTCATTCTGCCGTCAAACCAGCCACCTTAAAACAAAAACAAAAATAGTACTCCTTTACTTTTACTCTTAATCCTGATCTAATTTGGTAACATACCGCACTTGACGTGTTGAAGCCACAGATTGTCCACCAGCGAGTTGGAGAGCGAGCCACCGAGAGCGTTGGTGGGTGCCGCATCGTTTCGTTCAGTGATCTCGCCGATAATGGCGAAATTCTTGAGGACGACGTCCTTTGAGGCGCCGCCGTCCGCCTCATACTTGCCAAAGATGCCCGCCGACTTGGTCATGTCTTGCGGGTGACGGCCGCCGAGGACGCTGTGCCACGGTCCGGCGCCCTCGAGGTGCACCTGGTCGACGATGACGTGGTCGTAGAGGAGGTAGTGGCCGGGCGGAATGAAGACCGTCTTGTGCTGGCCGCGTCCCTCGTCGACTGCCTTCTGGAAGGCCTTCGTGGAGTCGGTCTTGCCGGTGGCGTCTGCGCCGTAGTCGGTCACCGAGAGGGCGCCCTCTGGCTTCGGCAGCGGCGGGTGGACCAGCTCAAAGTCGGCTAGATCAATGGTGAAGGTGTGCGCCACTGAGGTAGAGGTCACCTGGACCTTCACCTTCGTGCCCTCGGGGTAGGTCTTGTCGAAGAGCATTCGGCTCTCATCGTAGAAGTGGTGGGGATTGGTGTCGCTGGGGTTGTTGTTGAAGGGATAACCGCCGTAGTACCAGCCGTAGCGGGAGGTGACGGCCATCTCCTTGAACTTGTGCCCATCGATGTACACGTCCAGTGTGGCGTCCAGGCCCCGTCCGTTGGGGCTGTCGGGGATGCTCGTCCTCACCACGATGGAGTTGGCGCGGATGGGCATGGTGAACTCCACAAACTGCCCGGGGGCGTTCAGCTGCACTGCTCGACGGCCAGAGGCCTCTGAGCTCAGTTTGGTGTACGTTCGCTCGTTGCCAATGATCTGGCCATTGTGGTGGGCGTGCTCGGCTTCCACCTCGACAAAGGGCACCTTGGCGCCTCTCGTCTTCCACCGTTCTTCGGCGGCAACCAGCGCCGCAACCAAAAGGAGGGCTGTCAAAAGAAGAAGCTTCATGATTTGGGGGGTTTACAAGCAGTAAAATGCTTGCTTTCCACCTCAACTTTGGCTAACTTTTATACTGTTGTGAGCTTTAAAAACAAAGGTGCTTCAAAATACCCTTATCACCGCTATCAAAACTCAACTTTGAGCTTTAGTGTTTTCTGATTGAGAAATTGGGAAATGTTTCTAATATTAAAAGGCATTTTGTTTTGTTGCTAGCGATCGGCAACAACAAAAAGTTAAAAATCTACCAAAAACGACTTACCTGACAACTACAAGTTAATCTAATCAATTTGGGCTTATTAGATAACAACAAAATAGAATAAAACAAGTATTAGTTATTGAGCATATTGATTTATTGTGTTATTCTAACTAAAGTTATTACCAGCAGTACCTTGGTTGACCTTCCCCTCAGGTGATATTAATCACCTATGCCAAAGTTTACACTCGGCACAAATGTTTTGGATTAGAAGATGGATATATCCTGAGTTGTGCCGTGTTTATAAATAACAACAAAGTCAATTTTAGACAAACAATAAAAATAATAATATTGCATTTTAACTATTCATATTTGTAGGATAAAACTGCAGTGAATAACAGTGTCCATATCCTTGTCATAAAGCGCAATATCAAAAACAAGTTTAATATTTTTGCAAAGTTTTACTGAATTTTAATATTAGATTTGAAACGTTGCATTGCTTTGAGTATTACAAAACGATAGCCAAAGTTAAACTGATTAGTTTCACTTTTCAGTAAAGTCATTGCAGAAAATTACAAAAGTTTTTGATAACTTTGATGACAGTGAATAAAAATAGTCTCACTGACAGTTTCGAAGGACAAAGACACTCTTTCATTTGGTACTTGTTGTTATCATAACGTAAAAACACCGTTGGCGAATCTTATCAGGGGTTTGAATAAGATTCGAGCAGAAGCAGCGCCTCAAAGACGTATAAAAACATTTCACAAAAACATCAGACTTCAGATTATTTAATTTTCATAGACACTTTATCTTTCTTGACAACAAAATGTCCCCATCCTCACATCAACAGCCCTCAACACCGGAATGGACTCCGAGAATACCCAGACCAGCCTCCTTCACCAAACCGCTAGTCCTGGAGGACAAACTACTGATGATCCCAGGACCGACAAACACTAGTCCCCGGGTGCTGAAGGCCATGTCCACGCCGGTGA